AATTGAAAGAAAACTCAGATGAGTGTGTATAAATAAACATGTACATGTATGTGTAGTGTGACCTAAGTGCAAATAGAAGTAGCAAGATGTGCCTGTAACCTTGCATATTTATGAGACAGGCAAAAGACACCAGCAATCCTACCATCATGTAAAACATTTACAGGCTGTCATTTTACACTCACTTGGCAGGACGGTAGTACCTCCCTAGGTGGTTGTTTATATTAGGATGAATGAGTGTGTTTTTGGCCATTGTTACATTCTTTAACACTTGAAGGACTGTCTATGTCAGGGCAACCTCTGAGCCAGGTGATGTGGAGGTATTTCTTTTCCATTCTGTTTTTTGTTTTTTATTTGTTAACCTTGCCATGGGTCATTCCTCACTTTACATTGCTGTATAAAGAAGGTTGTTGATGTTAGAAAGGTAGTGATGCATGTTGTCAATAGCAGTGCTGAAGTACTGATGCTGGCAAGGTCCTATTGCTCTTCGGTGGCAGACTTGATGCTTTTAAAATGTTAATGAAATGACTGATAATGTCAAACAAAATTAATCTGTTGATAGTGTTAAGCAGAAACTATTGTTAAGATTTATTTTATCAGTGTTGCAGTTGGGGCTGTTGACTGTGTTAAGATTAACATTTCGTATCATTGACAGGTTATTACAAAGTTATTAAGAAAAACTAATTTAAATACTTGTGTTCATAAATCAAATAGAGGTTGTTAGAAAACAGTAACATGAGTAAATTGTAAATGCAGTACAGTACTAATATCACAATGTAATCTCTGTAAAGATTCATATATTTAGTGCAGAATCATATACAGATATTCAGTAGCTCATATACAGATAAAAGTAGCTCTATAATTTATGTGTTAAGATTTTGAAAGGTTCATAAAAATTAAAAAAAATATTGTTTTACTACCAGACAAAAATTATAGCAGTAAAAAAAAATTAAGCAGGAGAACTCTATTAAGAAAATATAAAACAGGGCCTAAATTATATTGGAGAGTGCAGTGTATTATTATTATTTATAATATAATATCTCTATTTACTACAAGTACCTGTACAAGGTATACAGGCCTAGCTGACATCAGTAACATACTACTAGTATATAGAAAGCCGCTAGTTATGTTGAGCATTTCGGGCAAATTAGGTCAGTTTTGTCTCTGGATGCGACCCACACCAGTCGACTAACACCCAGGTACCCATTTTAAACTGATGTGTGAACAGGGACAGGGACAGCAGGTGTCTTATGGAAACTTGTCCCTAATGTTTTCCAGCTGTACTGGAAGAGATTCAAACCTCAGACCTCAGTGTGTGTGAGCTGAGTGCGCTAGTGATCAAGCTACGAGACAACATCGATTTTCTGCACCTTTAGTTCCAAAGCCTTTCCGGATTACTGATTTTTCCGCCTTTAGAGAGCCCAGTATTCCTTTGTCTTGAGGTTGGATATGTGACGTACAGTGTGTGGTAAGTGCACTGCCGCAGGAATTTCAAGTTCCTGCTCATAATTTTGTACTGTTCTGGACCATCAGTGTCCTGAAAATCGATGTTGTATCTGTACTACAGTATATATGAATTAATATCAGAAGAGCTGTCCTTGACATCTTATTCCCCAGAGTCTGGAAGTTTGATATGACACTGCATATACATTAATATGTAATTGATATTTCAGATTCAGACTTTCAAAATCAGACAGCATACATGAAGTGTTACCTGTTCTAATGCAGATAAATTAAAAATGTGGGATATGCTTATCGAATACTAGATATTTCAGTAATACAGGCAGTCCCAGTTTAACAAGGAACAGTTAAAAAAAAAACTAGCTTCATTATGGCCCTATTTTATTCAGCAGATCATCAGTTAAATTAAACAGATGGTTAATAGTGCATGAACCTGGGGAGATACTCTATACTATATAAAAAAAAAAAAGACTATTTCCTGATCTTTGTTTTGTAGTCACTTGTGGACTACCTTGATTGTTCTTGCTTCTTACTGCCCATATTATAGCGTTCACATTTCCTAATAAGGCAGTGAGTGGTGCAAAGACTAAGAGAAACATTATTACCTTAGAAAGGAATATGCATATCGCATAGAATTTTGAAGCTCAGTAAAAGGCATAAGAGCATTGATAAAGCTCTTTTACAATACACCAGTATTGGAGTAAATGCAAGATAACATTTTCCAGTAGGCTGTTATTTTGCCCAAATTGTATGATGGAATACAGTGGAACCCTGAATATTGGCCTTAATCCGTTTCAGAAGGTTGCCCTAAATTTGAAACAGCCTAAATTCGAAGCAATATTTCCCATAAGAATTAATGTAAATACAATTAATCCAGACACCCAAATATAATAAAAAAAATACATTTTGTAAAGGTTAACTATAGTTTTACATACACAAAACAATGATAAATAAATATGAAAGTATTTTCTTTTTGGCGATTTTCTTTCTTTTTGGGTCACCCTGCCTTGGTGGGAGATGGTCAACTTGTTAAAAAAAAAAATATGAACATTGCATACCTTTATTGAAGACTCTTGTTGGCATATGGAAGAAAGCAAGGAGGGGAGAGGGAGTTGGGGTTATTATTTGGAAGGGAAATCCCCCTCCATAATGACTTCAGGTAACAAGTCCCTCTCTGGGGTTACTTCCCTTTGTCTTTTAATGGTGCTAGGACCAGCTTGAGAGTAACTGGACCCCTGTCGCACAAAATATTTGTCCAGAGAGCTCTGTTTCTGGTGTCTCTCTAAGATTTACCTGAAGTGGGCCAAGGTTTTGTCACTGAATATGTTGCAGATATGGCTTGTTTCAGCTTGGTCAGGGTGATATTTTTCAGCAAAAGCTTGCAGCCTACTCCACATTGCACAACTCCTCTTAATCTCTGAAGAAGGCACCCCCTTCTCTCTCTCTTCCTCCTCCTCTGAAGCAAGTTCCTCAGCTGTGGTCTGTTGTTGTTCCAGTTGAAAATGTTGCAGCTCTCCAGTGGTTAGCTCTTCCCTGTGGTCCTCCACCAATTCTTCCACATCCTCGTCACTCACATCCAACCCCATGGACTTCCCCAAAGACACAATAGATTCCGCAACAGGCGTAGGGTCGTCAAGGTCAGCCTCAAACCCTTCAAAATCTTTCTCGAGGACACATTCTGGCCAAGCCTTACCTATAAGGCCTAGCAAGTTCCAGCACCAAGCAAGCAAGCTGTACTAGTACGGCTTGCTTGCCAGGGTTGGTGCCGTACTAGTACGCATAAATTCTAGTGCCTTCAAATCTAGCGAGAGAAAGCTGATAGGCCTACATATGAAAGAATGTGTCTATGTGGTAAGTGTGTGCAGTATAAAAAAAATCCTGCAGCACACAGTGCATAATGAGAAAAAAAAACTCCGACCATGTTTTTGCTTTAAAACAGCGACTTTGCACTGTAATTTCATATGGTATTTATGGTTGTATCCTAGTTTTCCTGGTCTCATTTTATAGAATGGAAGACATATTACAGAAATTGAGATGATTTTGACTGGTTTCACAATGAAAAGTACCTTGAAATTGAGCTCAAAGTAGCAGAAATGTTCGATTTTTGCCAAAGTTCAAAAGTAAATAAATCGAGCCATGCGTCCAATACACGTCAACTGGTGAGTCTAATATTCTTTCACAAGTGCGCTGATATTATTTATGCAATTTCTACACTAATGCAGTAGTCTGCATAACAGTAAATCTTCTATTTTTTGTGAGAATAAAAATTCAAAGTGGAAACCAAATGAAATGTAACAGAGGCCTGGGGACGTGACTAATGAACAGAAAATGTTATTTTAGTGCCAGGAATGTCTGTCTGGTTTATTCTGGAACCTATTTGGAAATTGGCAGCTTTTGAAATTTGTGTGAAATTGGCAAAATTGCCAATATCTGACCACTTTATTGGATAGTTGAAATTGGTAAATGGGTAGTTTCTTGCACTCATTTGATAGAAAAAATGGAGTTCTAGCGAAATAGTTATGATTTTTGTCAACTGGTACATTGGAATTGGCCGAAAATAGGGCTCAAAGTTGGCAAAATCGCCGATGCGTAAACATCGTCGAGACCGCTAACTTCGCAAGAGCATAATTCCGTAACTTTTCCATCGAATTTCATACTTTTGGTGTCATTATGATTGGGAAAATATTCCTATTTTTTTGTTAGATTTTTTTTTTTTTTTTTCCGAAAAATTTTTGACCCTTAGAACAAGTTTAGGGGAGGGCCTGCCGACCCTGAAAGGGCTAAATTCCATTGTGTTTCTCACTTTCTTTACCAAAGGGCTGGCACTCTGAACTTTCTTTGGGCCCATGGTGGCTTATTTCACAGTTGCACTTAATAAACAAGCACAAAAACCAATGGATTTTACGGAAATGTTTGGATGAATGCACAGAGTATATGCTCATTCACCAGGAGACACAGGGAGACTGACTCACCTGCATGCGGCATCCAGGCAGGAGGCAGGCTGAACCATATAATACGGATGATAAATGCAACGGCCGATATTCGGGGTCCCACTGTATATATAACAGAAAACTACAGTATTTCAAAGTTAATTCAGAAAAAGTTATTATGATGTAATCCTGGCTTTTACTAATTTGTTACTGTTTAAAGCACTTGATTTAATTTCTACATCCTTAGCTTTTTAAACATTTTTGCTAATTCTAATAGCTTCCTAAAATTCAATTGTGATATGAAATTTGGACAAATCAGTTTAGATTACAATGCAAATTACACTATTCCCATTGGAATATATGCCAGTGTGGCAACAGGTAAAGCCCTCTAAATTTTTTTTGAACCTAACTGGAGTTTGTTTAAAAGTACAATATTGAAAATGTTGAAGTGAATGAAGATTCACAATATGAACAGCTCTACAGGAATGCAACTGCTTTGTTTAACTGGAACTGCCTATAGTATCTTCTTTAAGCTTAAATATTCATGATTTTTCTTGTAAAACTGATTTGAATTTGATTGATGAAACATCAGAACATGTGGGTGTTTTTCAGAAACAAATGTGAATGAAGATACATTCCCCCTAACTACAAATAGGGTGATGAAGAGCCATGGAGCAGTATCTTCGGAAATTTTGCATGGAGGTGATAAAAGTGTATCATCATATCTTGATAATGATGACCTAATAACTAACATTTTGTTTGAAAATGTCAAACTAGTGTCACTTGAAACAGATGAACTGGTATCAACAGTAGCACAGAATTGTAAAAATGAAGCATTGGTACATGTAACATGGGATGAAAATATGGCAGTCTATCCTGTAGCTTTATCTGAGAATTTTGAGGTATCACAGGAAGGTTTGATTGATGATATAACCATTGCATGTGAAACACTGGCTGGACATCTTATGGTGGCACGTAAAGTTTTGGTGAAATACACTGTGGTACCTGACACATTACTTAATTATGTTACAGTACCCCATAAAATTTGGGAACAGGATGGGAAAGTGCAACTCCGTACTTTGACCCAGGATTTTATAATTCCTGAAAATTTGATTGAATATTTATCAACTTCTGAAACTTTGGTTGAAGATATGGTGGCAACTGACACTCTCTTGGAATATTTAATGAAGGAACATGAAATTCTGGCTTTTCATGCCATAGATACACCTAAACCTTTATCTGGATTTGTGACACTGTTGCTCAAAACCTGGACTGAGGATGAGATTTTTGCCCAAAATACTGTAACTGAAGGTGTAGTAGTAGTGGCATCTGAAGGTTTCAGAAAAGATGAGGTATTAATATTGCAAGAAAGATTAGTTGAAAATAGGGAGGTGATACCAAAAACTTTGGTTGATGAGGCAGAGGCTCTGGAAATTTTGGCATATGCAAATTTATTTGAAGATATAAAGATAGCATTTAAACTCTTGACTGAATGTGCAGTTAAGGGACCTAAAGATAGATCACTGGTGCTGGAAAGCTTTGTTGAAGATGTGGATATTGTACCAGAAATGTTAGTCAAGAATTTGATAGCAATCTTTACAATTTTTGCCAATTATATGAAAGTGGCACCTGAAGTGTTGGCTGGGTATGAGCTGGCAGCACCTGGAGCTTTAACTTATAATGTGGCAACAATATATGCAACCTTGATAGGTGTCACATTGGAAGAGAATTTTGATGTAATTATGGCGGCATCTCAGACTTGCCTCGAAGATTTGCTTTGGAAACTAGAGCTTATGATTGTTAGTAAGAGGCTGGAAAATGACAATTTGACTGAAAATATAATAGCCCATTTTCTTGAAACTTTTGTCAAAGATGTGTCAGTTGGACCTGAGACTTTAAGTGAAGATGTAGCTGTGGTAGTAAAAACTTTTGCTGGAACAACAGTGGTACCAGACACCATGGCTGGAACAGCAGTAGTACAAGACACTTTGGCTGGAACAGCAGTGGTACCAGACACTTTGGCTGGAACAGCAGTGGTACCAGACACTTTGGTTGGAACAGCAGTGGTACCAGACACTATGGCTGGAACAAGAGTGATACCAGACATCTCGGATGGAGATGGTAGAAAAGTGTCTACAGACAGCTTAACAGTAAAGGTATATAATGCGGGATTAGAAACCTCAGTGAAAAATGTGGAAGTCTCATCATCTGAGATCTTTACTGAAAGTACTGAACTGGTGACAATAGAAGATTCAATGGATATAAAAGTATTTTTTCATAAGGAGAGTAAAACAGGTGAAGAAGTTTCAAATTTATTGTCATTGGTTAAAGAAAAAATTGTGCCTGCTAGTTTAATTATTGAAGGTAAAATCCTACCCATTAATTTGTGTGAAGAAATTGAGTTACCTGAAACTATTGAGGAAGCTGAAATGGAGCTTCTTGATCCTGTGGATATTGAAGCTGAAGTAAAATGTTTACAAACAGTTGTTAAAGTAAAGAATTGTAAGACAGTGGTTAAACGGCAAAAAAATGTCTGTAAACTAGTGGAAGTTGAACTTGCGGTTGAAAGATCTGAATCTTTGATTGAAATAGAACAACATGGCTGTGTGGTTGCAGTAGAATGTGAAGCTGTGCTTAAAGTACAAAAGCACAACACTATTGTGGAGGTAAAGAAGTACATTTCTTTGAAAGTTGAACTAGAAGCAATGAAGCAAGTAGAGCAGAAAATTTTGATAGAGGTACAACAGCTTAAAACTATGGTTGCTGTAGAGCAGAGTGAGACTGTGGTTGCTGTAGAGCAGAGTGAAGCTGTGGTTCATGAAGAGAATGAATCTGCATTTGATATAGTGGAGATTGTAGCTGTAGTTAATGTAGAATATTTTGGAGGTTTGGTTGGCCTTAGTTGTGAAGTTGTGGTTGACATAGAATGTCTTGGAGTGACAGATGTACATCTTAAAGGTGCAGTTGACTTAAGACATGAAAATGTGGTTGACATAGGATGCTGTAAAGGTGTGGTTGATGTAGGATGCTGTAAAGGTGTGGCTGATGTAGGATCCTGTAAAGGTGTGGTTGACATAAAATTTTGCAAGGGTGTAGCTGGAAAAACTGAGGTACAACATCCTGCATGTGTGGAATACAGTGATGCAAGTTGCCTCAAAACTCTGATAGGAGAAGTTGTCATTAAATGTGAAACCAATTTTGATGCTGAGAGAGATATTTTCTCTAAGTATGTGTTAGAAAAATTGGGAGCCTTTGTATTTGAGGCTGAACATAAAGGTATGGAAGTGACAGATCTTGTATCTCAGGAAGATGATAAACCCATCTGGAGTGAAGATACACTTGCACCTATTAGCATATTATCTGGTACTTTCGTTGGAGAGGATTGTGAAAGTTATTCTGAATCATTCTATAATGAAATGGAGTTAGTTTCTCTTGAAATGGATGGTTTATCTTGGGAAGTCCCATCCCAGTGTGTTTTGTTAATCCCTGACACTTCATTTAGCAGTTTAGAGTCACTGGATGTAGATAACATTGACTGTGTGGTGGATATTTTCATTACTGAAGACTTCGGTGATGGAATGGAATCTCATGAAGTGGTTTCGTCTGAAAGTTTATTTGGAATGTTCAGCCCTGACACCTTAATTGGTATTATGGAGTCTGTTCCATTTGAAATTGTGGTTGAAGAAGTTTTAGATATTTCTGACACATTTTCACTGATGCTGGAGCTCAATGTGGATGAGTCAGAAATAGTGTTAGAAAAATCTCCTTTGGTTGTGACAGAACCATTAGAGGTAGAGTTTTCTATAAATGAAGAAAAAATGATCCTTGAGTATCCATCACTTAAACTATTGGAAGAAAATCTTCCAGATGATGAAAAACAGATTTTTCCTTTGTATGAGGTAGATTCATTTCCACTGGAGGTAACAGTATTGAAAGAATTGAGACATGAGGCACAGCTAGTAAAGGCAGATTTTGGTGTGGTTGATGTGACTGAGAGAGCAGATACACATTTGACAGTGACAGAACCATTTCAAGAGGTATCAAGCATAAGTGAGACCGAAGAAGCAGAGATAGAATCTCCTCTTATTATTAGGGAACTAGTTGAGGTAGGATCTCCTTTGGGAGTGTCAGAACTAATTAAGGAAGAGTGTCCTGTGGTAATAGTAGAGGAAGGATCTTCAACTTTTGCAGATATATGTGAAAAAGAATTTAATTATTATATATCAGATCTGAAGGAAAAATCTAATTTTGCTCTAACAGAACCAGCAGTGCAAGCATATCCTCTTGCTGTTACAAAAACAGTTGAAGCAGAATGTCTGTGGACTTTGAGAGAACTAGAGGAAGAACTTCTTTTGCATTTAAAAGAACCATTTAAGGTACGGTCTCCTTTGCCTGTAGAAGATCCAGTCAAGGAAACACCTTGCTTGAATAAAGCTGAACCAGAGGAAAAATTATCTCTCGTGTCTCTGGTAGATCTTAATGTGGAAAAATTTATTTTTATCATGGCAGAGCTGGCTGATGAAGACCTTTATTTACCTGTAGCTCAGTCAGTTGAGGAAGAACTTTATTTACCTGTAGCTCAGTCAGTTGAGGAAGAGCTTTATTTACCTGTAGCTCAGTCAGTTGAGGAAGAGCTTTATTTACCTGTAGCTCAGTCAGTTGAGGAAGAGCTTTATTTACCTGTAGCTCAGTCAGTTGAGGAAGAACTTTATTTACCTGTAGCTCAGTCAGTTGAGGAAGAACTTTATTTACTTGTAGCTCAGTCAGTTGAGGAAGAACTTTATTTACCTGTAGCTCAGTCAGTTGAGGAAGAACTTTATTTACCTGTAGCTCAGTCAGCTGAGGAAGAACTTTATTTACCTGTAGCACAGTCAGTTGAGGAAGAATGTAGCTTACCTGTAACACAGACAGTTGAGAAAGAACTTAGTATAGCTGTGCTACAGTCAGTTGAACAACTTAATTTAGCTGTAGCACAATCAGTTGAGAATGAACCTCTTTTACCAGTAGCACAACCAGTTGATGTAGCTGTAGCACGGCCCATTTGGCAAGAACTTCCTGTAGCTTTCTCAGAATTAATTAAAGAATTTTTTTTGCCTGTGGCAAAATTAGATAATGAAGACTCCTTCTTACCCATAGCAGGGCATATTGAAGAAGAGATTCCTTACCCTCTTTTAAAATCAGTTAAGGAAGAATATCTCTTAACTCGAGTGGTTTTACCAGAGCTGCTGGAGGAGGCATATGTTTTGGCTGTGTCAAGACCAGTTGAAGAAGAATCACCTTTGAATGTAATAGATCTTATTGAGGCAGATTATCTTTTAGATGCAGTAAAACCATTTGAGGAAAAAACTGGTATGCCTATGGTAGAACCAATTGAGGAAAAGACTGGTATGACTGTGGTAAAGCAAGTTAAAGAAAACACTAGTATGGCTGTGGTAGAACAAGATAAGGAAAACTCTGGTATGATTGTGGCAGAACAAGTTGAAGATTCTAGTTTGGTTATGGTAGAATCAGTTAAGGAAGACTCTCTTGTAGCTGTGGTAGAACTAGTCAAGAAAGAGACTTGTACATCTGTGGTAGAACCCATTGAGAAAAACTTTCCTTTATCTGTGTTACAACCATTTGATGAAGAACCTTTTCTAGATCCAGTAAAACCAGCCGAGGTAGAATCTTTGGTTGTAGCAGAACATTTGGAACTAAAACTTCTCTTTACACTTTCACAGCCAGTTACGGAAAATTCCATTTTGGCCTCCATTGAACCACTGGGAGTCAAAGTAAAGCATCTGGAAGTTGTAGAGCCAATTAAGATAGTATCTTTGGCTTTGATAAAAAATGCTGAGGAAGCAATTTGCTTTGTTGTCACAGAACCAGTTAAGGAAATGTCTATATTGGCACAGCTGAAAGCTTTTGAGATAAATTCTGGTGTATCTGTCACAGAATTTAAGACAGAACTTCCATTGGCTGTCACAGATGAAGTTAAATCACTTTGGATTTTTGTTGATCCAGTGGAATTTGAATCTCCTTTGACTCTCACAAATTCTTTTAAGGAAGATGTTGGTGCATCTTGTTTGATTAAATTTGTTCAAGTGAAGCTATATAGTTGTATATCAAAAGTGCATTTAATTAGTGGAGATTATAAAATAGAACAGGAAGAAAGGGAACTGGAATTCTTTATGGATGAGGCAGAACCTGTAAAGGTAGAACATTTATTGGCTCAGGTAGATTTAATGAATACCAGCTGTGCTCTGGATGGAGTAAAACTGTACCAGGTGAAAAAAATATCAAAAATAGAGTTCATTTCTTCACAAGTAGGTTTTGGAAAAGGATACCTTAAAGTAGCATCTGTAATGGAGGTAGAATTGTTAACAGCAAAACCTTGGGTGATTCATGTTGTATTGTTAAAAATTCATACCCCATTAGATGAACCAGATGTAGAAATGATAGATTCCTTGAGTGAACCTCTCACTGTTAGATTAAGATGTCTTGACATAGACCCAAAGAAGATTGAGTCTTCAGTAGATGTTAATGATAGAATGAACGTAAAATCAGTTATGGGTGAAATAAAGGTAGTAGATGTAGAAATTATTAACTTAAAGTTGGCTGTGAGTCAGAAATCAGCAGTGAAAACTAAATGTTCATTGAATGAGACTGTGCCTTTGGATATCTGTTCATATGTAGAAGATTCTGCAAGAGTAACAAAAGAAGTGACCTGCATCACTGCAAATTTTCTACCACAAACACCTGAGTTAGTAGAAAACCCAGTACCTGAAGAAGCCAAAATATTGATATCAGACAAATTAGCTGTGCACTTGAAGGATCACCAACTTGTTTATGAAGAAATGCAACTCCAGACACTACCATCACCAGTCACTTTAATGTGGGAGGAAACACTGGCACTTGAGCACATGCATACAGAGACTACTTTGGTTGCTGCTCATGAAAATATCGAAGGTACATGCATTACCAGTTTTGTGTTCATTAGAGATGCTATTTGTACCTTCCAGTAAATTTGAACACGGTCTCCGATTTCAGTATCACACTATGTAGTACGTATTTTGCTTTGGTTAGTAGTTTTGGGTTTTACTTTTTAGTGAGTCTTGATATTTTATCTGTTTTAGAAATGTAAAACATATTGTCTACAAGAAGTGCTTGGACTGTTGACACAGAATTATGAGTACAGTAGTAAATACTGTAGGTATTTTTGTTAATTGTAGAGAACTTTTAATGAGTATTATTGAACCTTGAAAAATTTATTCGCCTATAAGTATTGCTACGGTATTGCGCCATATGTAATCTAATTTAACAATGAAGAAAATTTGATAAATATATGAGGCATTAATAACGATGAAATAATAAATGTTAAATTAATTGTCTGTAATATTTAATATTTTGGAAAATGTCTAAAAATCTATTTGAAAAATATAATCATTATTTTTTTAATAATACAAGTGCTGGAGGTAGGAAGTATAGTGCTTTTACTCTGAAGGAGGGGTAGTGATGTTGCAGTTTAAATTGTTATCTGAACTGTGATATCAGCACACTTCTGGCAAGACAGTGACTGAATGAATGATGGTGAAAGTAGTTTTCTTTTTTCAGGTCACACTGCCTCAGTGGGAGTCAGTTGGTGTTAAAAAAAAAAAATGATGATTCATATTTATTCAAACAAATTTTGGGTAGTGTTATAAGTCGCAGCATTTTGGAAGTACACATTAATAAATATAATTAAGTTGTTGTATGCTGTGGAGGTGGTAGCATAGTCATGCTTATTAAATTTGTTACTCTTACTTTATGCATCTGTTGAGTCATACTTAGTAGAGTATGTTAAAGCAGTTGTTCAGTACCAGTACAAATGTGTATACACTTGTGAAGCGTTATACCGTCAGAGAGCTCATTACTAAGTAATTGATGATTTCTGATGTACTGTACTGTCTGTTAAATACATTTGAAGGAGCACCCATCAGTGTTGGGTGTATGGGCTTAGCTCTTGTAAGCATAAATTTGTCACCAGATTTTAATACGTAAAAGAAAACACTGTCTTTCTGCACAAGGGTTTTATTTAGCTACAGGCATATGGAGACTAGTAGTCTCCATAGGTGTGGCAGCATTGAAGATAGTGGGAGGATAACAAGGCTTACTTATTTTACCTCCCTTATAACTGCAAAGCTGCACTTATATTCCCTATGACTTCACAAAATGTGGGGTGTACAGTATACATATTGTATATCTAGCTGCCCTGTGGCTAGTTGATTAAAAACAGATGTTTATGGATACTTGTGAAATACAGTATAGATTTAATTAACATTGACTTGCAAAAGCAATTGTGTAGTAGTCCTCTTGTGTTAAATTTCAGAACTAAAGTAAGAATAAGGTTTTAAATATAATATAAATGTTTAGATTATTTGAGTAATTATCCATTTTACATTACAGTACTTACCAAGTACAGTAAAAAAAATTCATACATTGTCCTGTTATTGATTAACAAAATATTTTCAGAAGATGGTAAGCAAGTTAGTGCAATGGATGGTGAAGAGGTTGTTGAAGTCAGCCCAGATGATGCATCTTTGACTGAGAAATTCCTGAAGACTTTTCACAGCTTGGTTAGTAAAGACATAATACCTCAAGTTTTTTACCAGTGTAGCACTGTTTCAGGTGGCTTTGTTGTAGACTTGCAAAATCTGAATTTTGCAATAGCTCATTGATTTATGTACTTGGCTGCTGTAGTGGTTGAACAAGGTGGTCATTTAAATTGTTTTCTGTTTGCCACTTGTAAAATTAATTTTTTAAAGATTTTAAAGCTCTTGAAGTAAATTCATATTCTGTTATTTTGAAGAATTTTGGTAATGCTAATCTGAAAATAAGCAGCTGGTAGAACCTATACAAGATGGTGGCAGTAACAGTGGTAACAGGTGTTGGTTGGGAGTACAGCAGGCAGGAGGAAGTGAGAGCCATGCCTGTCTTACCAAGGGTGCTGTTCATAGCCTGCTGATACATCCTTTATAAAGCAAACTACATTATTGCCTTCTCATACACATAACATAGGGTTGAATAATTAGTCAGATGTATGGTGATGGTGTACTGGACAAATTATTAAGGGTTTGAGTGTGTACATGTGATGCAGCTGAAGGTTGCTCTGTAACCTACACCACTGGTTGTTTCTTATAGTAATCTCTCCCTTTGCACTTATCAAAGACACCTGTTGATACAACTCAAAATGAAGTAACATGAAATAATAATTAGAATGGTAGTGAGTGAGAAAAATATTGTATTTTGTGGTGATGTGGCAGTCTTTCCTTGAGTGTTTGTGAAATAGGCTGTTGCCTTGCCTTCAGCTCCAGCAAAAACTTAGATTTAGCAGGTTTCACTTGCCAGCACTTCTTATGAGTTAATTCATTTTTGTGAATATAATAAATAATCTAACATTAGCACATACATTAAATGTGTCATTTATTCATTATCTTTGCATGAAGGGTTGATAATGTCATGATAAGTGGAGGAGAGGAGGACTGTCAGCCACACTACAGCCCTCAACTGGGTTAGTGATGTGTACACTCCCTAACATTGCCTCCCACATTTTTTTCTTTATTTTTATCAGTGCATTTATCTGGTATAGTAGTACCAACACTCTTATATGGGTGTGAAGCTTGGGTTGTAAATGCTGCAGCGAGGAGGCAGTTTGAGGCAGGGGAGATGTCCTGTCTAAGGGCAATTTGTGGTGTGAATATTATGCAGAAAATTCGGTGTGTGGAAATTAGGAGAAGGTGTGGAGTTAATAAAAGTATTAGTCAGAGGGCTGAAGAGGGGTTGTTGAGGTGGTTCAGTCATTTAGAGAGAATGGATCTAAGTAGAATGACATGGAGAGCGTATAAATCTGTAGGGGAAGGAACGTGGGATAGGGGTCGTCCTCAAAAAGGTTGGAGGGAGGGGGGTAAAGGAGGTTTTGTGGGCGAAGGGCTTGGACTTCCAGCAAGCGTGCGTGAGCAAGTTAAATAGGAGTGAATGGAGACGAATGGTATTTGGGACATGACGAGCTGTTGGAGTGTGAGCAGGGTAATATTTAGTGAAGGGATTCAGGGAAACCGGTTATTTTTATATAGCTGGACTTGAGTCCTGGAAATGGGAAGTGCAATGCCTGCACTTTAAAGGAGGGGTTTGGGATATTGGCAGTTTGGAAGGATATGTTGTGTATCTTTATACGTATATGCTTCTAAACTGTTGTATTCTGAGTGCCTCTGCAAAAACAGTGATTGTGTGAGTGAGGTGAAAGTGTTGAATGATGATGAAAGTATTTTCTTTTTGAGGATTTTCTTTCTTTTTTGGATCACCCTGCCTTGGTGGGAGACGGCCGACTTGTTGGAAAAAAAAAAATGGTGGTTTGGTGCTGGAGTGGTGGTTTTTCTATTTTTTGGTTCAGTTAAGTCATGAGATGTGCATTTTTTAAACTTGTGATTCAGGAGAGAGATGTTCAAAAGTATTTTTTAACATTTTCTAGATTGTGTATAAATCATGTATACTGATGGATGGTATAGAATGTTCTATTAAATAAGTACAGGTGTACAAATACCCTGTCTGTTGGTGGTTCTTGCCTGGCATGAGAGGTCTTTGAATGAGAGGAGAAATCTTGTTCTTTTTAGGAAGTTCCTAGGTTTTTAGTCACGTTCTTAGGGTACTTGGTAATCCGGGACACACTATATATTGTTGTGCCAAAAAATCTCTATTTGGAAACATTATTTAATATGTTACGCTCATTCTCATCACTTGCTAATCTCTGATCTTTCTGTGATACCTTTACGTAGACATCCCTCATAACTCCATCCTTATACGTATAGTATAATAGTGTACTCACCTATTTGTACTCACCTATTTGTGGTTGCAGGGGTCGAGTCCTAGCTCCTGGCCCCGCCTCTTCACCGGTTGCTACTAGACCCTCTCTCTCCCCGCTCCATGAGCTTTATCAAACCTCGTCTTAAAACTGTGTATGGTTCCTGCCTCCACTACGTCATTTTCTAGGCTATTCCACTGCCTTACAACTCTATGACTGAAGAAATACTTCCTACTATCTCTCTGACTCATTTGTGTCTTCAACTTCCAATTGTGGCCTCTTGTTTCTGTGTCCCCTCCCTGGAACATCCTGTCCTTGTCCACCTTGTCTATTCCACGCAGTATTTTATATGTCGTTATCATGTCTCCCCTGACCCTCCTGTCCTCCAGTGTCGTCAGGCCGATTTCCCTTAATCTTTCTTCATAGGACATTCCCCTTAGCTCTGGAACTAACCTTGTTGCAAACCTTTGTACTTTCTCTAGTTTCTTGACGTGCTTTATCAAGTGCGGGTTCCAAACAGGTGCTGCATACTCCAGTATGGGCCTGACATACACGGTGTACAGTGTCTTGAATGATTCCTTACTAAGGTGTCGGAATGCTGTTCTCAGGTTTGCCAGTGTGTGTGTGTGTGTGTGTGCGTGTGTGCGTGTGTGCGTGTGCGTGCATTTGTGTGTGTGTGCATATACGTGTACGCGAGTGCATGCACGCACGTGCATAAATAATAAAAATAAACTTAATAAAAATGTGTTAGAGTAAAAACAATAAGCTTTTGAATACAAAAGTAATGCTCCTTACTGACTGGAATTTTTTTTTTTATTATTAACACATCGACCGTTTCCCACCAAGGCAGGGTGGCCCGAAAAGGAAAAACATTCACCATCATTCACTCTGTCACTGCTTTGTCAGAGGTGTGCTTACACTACAGTTATAAAACTGCAACATTAACATCCCTCCTTCAGAGTGCAGGCACTGTACTTCCCATTTCCAGGGCTCAAGGCCGGCCTGCTGGTTTCCCTGAATCCCTTCATAAATGTTACTTTGCTCACACTTCAACAGTATGTCAAGTCATAAAATCCATTTGTTCACTCGCTCCTATCTGACATGCTCAGGCATGCAAGCCCCTCGTACATAAAACCTCCTTCACCCCCTCCCCCCAACCTTTCATAGGCCGACCCCCTACCCAACCTTCCTCTTGGTTATCAAATGGAATAATGATGATAACCTGTGACATGCATCAAAGAGAGTCTTAGCTATCATAAGTGGTGGAAGGTGAACTCGGTTATATATTTTAAGCTTATTTATACTGTACATGTATTTATCTGTTTTTATAGTTTTGACCTAGTCATGTGACTTGGATATTACAAAAAAAAAAAAAGGCAGAGTTAGATATTCTTAGAAGGTATGTCTAGCATTGTAAAGAATTCTTTTTAATAGATTGAATTGTTGTCACTTCTCTCCCACAGTGGGTGTCTCTAGCTGGAGTTCTTCAGGTAATACATCCTACTGTAGTATAGTACTGTGTATACAAATTTCCATGTGAAGTATGTAAAATTTTTATTCTAATTGTATTTTTCTGGGTGTGCTTTTCTTCTTTCAACACACCGGCTGTATCCCACCGAGGCAGGGTGTGCTTATTTGAGTAATTTTGTTTACTATTTTTGATCATCAAAAACTATGGGAATATTTTCACTCCTGTCTAATTATTGCTTTTTATTCTGGTACTCAATTTCATGCATTTCTTGCCCTATAAAGTACTGTTGCATCTTTTGAGATACAATAATTCTGTAAATAAATTTGAAATTAGTTTGTCTTGAGAAAAAATACTGATTACAAAGTACATAATTCTTTCTCTGGAGAGCACCTAAAGACTGCACATGAACATAAAAGTTAAAGTAAATCTCTGATATTGCTCCCAGGTAGAGACTGTGATGTTCTTTAGACTACTTAACTGGCAGTTGTCCTTTGCCTTGTAATTAATTTCCTAGGTGTGAAAGGTTATTAAATATAATTTTACTGTCATTATAATTGGTAATGATAGCAGTCAAACGTTACATACAGTTGCACTGCTGTCAGTTTTAAAATCATTACAAAAATATTCCTGCAAGGAATAGTGGAATGCATGAATGACCGTGGGTAAGGATGACTGTTATGGACTGTCATTGTGAATTTAATTATGCTGATTAAGATGCATGGTTCAGGGTACATGAAGATTTCTTTAATGAAATATGCTTGAGGATAAGGATGGCAAAAACATCTAGGAATAACATTTGATTATTTGGAATTGTAAGTAATTTCTGTAATATAATTAGAACTGAAAGATGAAAATATTAAAGCTTGTCATTTGTAAATTAATTGTTGATTTTTCTGAGGAAGAAGTAAAAAATAAGTATAGAAAAAATGCAATGTTTTAAGAGTAAGAGTTGAAAGAGCAAATTTTTGTTTTTTATCTTAGAAATGTTTGTGATAAACTTGAAAGATGCATGTATGGAAATATTTTTAGTGTGTTTCTATAGAATGTGTTGTAAGTGTTTGATACCAGTGCTGAAACAAAATATTTTGCTATAATTAGTAATTTTGGTCAGTTTGTCATTGGAAAATGGATACAGCCACAGCCTGGTTGACCAGGCAAGCACCAGACAAGCCTGGCCCATGGCTGGGCTCTGGTAGTAGAGACTTGAAACTCATCAATGGTATATCAAAGGCAAAGGTAGTAATATGGTAAAAATAATATCAGGGATAAAAAAAAATTGTTTGCCATGAATCAAACTAATGAGTATAGATGTCTGATATAATTAAACAAGCATTAATTAAATTAATGTAGGTAATACACGAGTGTAAAACGAAAGCCTGTAATTGTTTTACATGATGGTAGGATTGCTGGTGTCCTTTTTTTCTGTCTCATAAACATGCAAGATTTCAGGTACGTCTTGCTACTTCTACTTACACTTAAGTCACACTACACATACATTTTTTTTTTTTTTCAACAAACCGGCCGTATCCCACCGAGGCAGGGTGGCCCAAAAAGAAAAACGAAAGTTTCTCTTTTTAAATTTAGTAATTTATACGGGAGAAGGGGTTACTAGTCCCTTGCTCCTGGCATTTTAGTCGCCTCTTACAACACGCATGGCTTACGGAGGAAGAATTCTGTTCCACTTCCCCATGGAGATAAGAGGAAATAAACAAGAACTAGAAAGAAAATAGAAGAAAACCCAGATGGGTGTGTATATATATGCTTCTACATGTATGTGTAGTGTGACCTAAGTGTAAGTAGAAGTAGCAAGACATACCTGAAATCTTGCATGTTTATGAGACAGAAAAAAAGGACACCAGCAATCCTACCATTACGTAAAACAATTACAGGCTTTCATTTTACACTCACTTGACAGGATGGTAGTACCTCCCTGGGCGGTTGCTGTCTACCAACCTGCTGGAGTTTACCTGGAGAGAGTTCCGGGGGTCAATGCCCCCGCGGCCCGGTCTGTGACCAGGCCTCCTGGTGGATCAGAGCCTGATCAACCAGGCTGTTGATGCTGGCTGCACGCAAACCAACGTACGAGCCACAGCCCGGCTGGTCAGGAACCAACTTTAGGTGCTTGTCCAGTGCCAGCTTGAAGACTGCCAGGGGTCTGTTGGTAATCCCCCTTATGTATGCTGGGAGGCAGTTGAACAGTCTCGGGCCCCTGACACTTATTGTATGGTCTCTTAACGTGCTAGTGACACCCCTGCTTTTCATTGGGGGGATGTTGCATCGTCTGCCAAGTCTTTTGCATTCGTAGTGAGTGATTTTCGTGTGCAAGTTCGGTACTAGTCCCTCTAGGATTTTTCCAGGTGTATATAATCATGTATCTCTCCCGCCTGCGTTCCAGGGAATACAGTTTTAGGAACCTCAAGCGCTCCCAGTAATTGAGGTGCTTTATCTCCGTTATGCACGCCGTGAAGGTTCTCTGTACATTTTCTAGGTCAGCAATTTCACCTGCCTTGAAAGGTGCTGTTAGTGTGCAGCAATATTCCATCCTAGATAGAACAAGTGACCTGAAGAGTGTCATCATGGGCTTGGCCTCCCTAGTTTTGAAGGTTCTCATTATCCATCCTGTCATTTTTCTAGCAGATGCGATTGATACAATGTTATGGTCCTTGAAGGTGAGATCCTCCGACATGATCATTCCCAGGTCTTTGACGTTGGTGTTTCGCTCTATTTTGTGGCCAGAATTTGTTTTGTACTCTGACGAAGATTTAATTTACCTACACATACATGTACAAACATATATATACACACCCCTCTGGGTTTTCTTCTATTTTCTTTCTAGTTCTTGTTCTTGTTTATTTCCTCTTATCTTCATGGGTAAGTGGAACAGAATTCTTCCTCCGTAAGCCATGCATGTTGTAAGAGGCGACTAAAATGCCAGAAGCAAGGGGCTAGCATCCCTTCTGTATATATTACTAAATCTAACAGGAGAAACTTTCATTTTTCCTTTTGGGCCACCCCGCCTCGGTGGGATACGGCCGGTGTATTGAAAGAAGAAGAATACATGAGTGTAAAAAGAAAGCCTGTAATTGTTTTATATGATGGTAGGATTGCTGGTGTTCTTTTTTCTGTCTTATAAATGTGCAATATGTCAGGTACATCTTGCTACTTCTACTTACACTTAGGTCACACTACACATACATGTGCAAGCATATATTTACATACCCCTCTGGGTTTTCTTCTATTTTCTTTCTATTTCTTGTTCTTGTTTATTTCTTCTTATCTCCATGGGGAAGTGGAACAGAATTCTTCCTCCGTAAGCCACGAGTATTGTAAGTGGCGACTAAAATGCCGGGAGCAAGGGGCTAGTAACCCCTTCTCCTGTATAAATTACTTAATTTAAAAAGAGAAACTTCTGTTTTTCTTTTTGGACCACCATGCCTCGGTGGTTTACGGCCAGTTTGTTGAACGAAAAAAAAAGTAATACGTATACGTAGTTATGTGTATTAGGTTGGTGGACAGCAACTGCCCAGGGCGGTACTGCCAAGTGAGTGTAAAACGGAAGCCTGTGTTTGTTTTACACGATGATAGGATTTCTGGTATCTTTTTCTGTCTCATAAACATGCAAGATTTCAGGTATGTCTTGCTATTTCTCCTTACACTTAGGTCACACTACACATGCGAGTACACATTTATGTATACACACTCATCTGAGTTTTATTTCATTTTATCTTAATAATTCTTATTCCTATTACTTTTCCTTTCATATCAATGGGGAAGTGAAATAAGATTGTTTCCTCCGTAAGCTATGCGTATTCTAAAAGTCAACTAAAATGCCGGGAGCAATGGGCTAGTAACCCCTTTACCTTGTATAGCCTACTAAAAAGAAAAAGAAGAAAACTGTCAAATTGGAATGTTTGAATGTGCGTGGATGTAGTGCAAATGATAAGAAAGATGATTGTGAATGTTATGAATGAAAAGCTGGGTGTCCTGGCTCTGAGTGAAACAAAGCTGAAGGGAGTAGGAGAGTTTCAGTGGGGAGAAATAAATGGATTAGGTCAGGGGTTTCTAATAAAGTTAGAGCTAAGGAAGGAGTAGCAATAATGTTCAAGGGTAACTTATGGCAGGAAAAGAAGGAATTTAAAAGTATAAATTGAAGGATTATGTGGAGTAAAATAAGGGTTGGGTGTGAAAAGTGGGTTATAGTAAGTGTTGATGCACCGGGAGAAGAGAAATGTAGAGGAGAGAGAGAGAGTGCATGGGGAGTTTTGAACCAAGTGAGAGAGTACTTGTGGTTGGGGATCTCAATGCTAAAGTGGTAAAAATTTTGTAGAGGGAGTAATAAGTAAATTTGGGGTGCGAGGGATGAATGAAAATGGGGAGCCTTTAATTGAACTGTGTGTAGAAAGACGTTTGGTAATAAGTAATACATATTTTATGAAAAAGAGGACAAATAAGTATACATGATATGATATAGCACATAATGAAAGTAGTTAGTTAGATTATGTATTAGTGGATAAAAGGATGATGGGTAGGCTTCAGGGTGTACATGTTTATAGAGGGGCAACAGATATATTGGATCATTATCTAGTTGTAGCTACAGTTAGAGTAAGAGGTAGATGGGACAAAAGGAAAATGACAACAGTAAATAAGAGATAGAGGCAAAAGTTTATAAACTAAGGGAGGAGGAAGTTAGGTTGAGATATAAGCAACTATTGGCAGAAAGGTGGGCTAGTGCAAGTGGGGGAGTTGAAGAGGGATGGGATAATTTTAAAAATACAGTATTAGAATGTCGGGCAGAAGTTTGTGGTTATAGGAGGGTGGGTGCAGGAGGAAAGAGGAGTAATTGGTGGAATGATGAAGTAAAGGGTGAGAGGTTTTTAGAAAGCAGAAGTGTTATAAGAATGGCAGAGCATTAGGAGAGTAAAAGAAAGGTGAAGAGAGTGATGAGAGATTGCAAAAGGAGAGCAAATGATAGTGGGAGAGGCACTGTCAAGAAATTTTGCCGAGAACAAGAAAAAATTT